TCATTTTAAAATAAATTTTATTGTCTGATTAACATGTTAAAAGCTACATATATAGTGTATTGGTTATTGTAATGAAATAAATTGACATATCAATCATTTCAAGTAGTTATCTAGATACCTCATATTAGGTGTGTAGGGGGCTTTTTGAAGTTGAAACCTATGTATTTTGACTTTACTTCATTAATTTCTCATTCCTTGATTTCTGGCAAGTTTATATATTTATTTTCTACTTCAGATCTGGAACTCAGCATTTCTGCAAAGATAAAGTGGGTGCTTTTTAAAGTGGTGGTATCTAGAAACTGTAACCTGACCACTGGAAATGTTGAGTGGGCCGGGGAATTGGTCAGCGCTTGATGCCAAGTCTGATGACCTGAGTTCAATTTTGGAACTCACATGGTTAAAGGAGAGAACTAACTCCTACAACCTGTTCTCTACTTGCTGTGGCAAGTATGCCCTCAAACACATGCAAGCACACATAGAGTAAATAAGTAATTTAATGAAAAAAAATTTTTTTTGGAGACAGGGTCTCTGTTATGTTGCTCTTGCTCTTCTGGCACTTGCTATGTACATCAGCCTGGCCTTGAACTCCTGGAGATCTGCCCACCTTTGTCTCCCAAGAGGCTTAATTAAAAATAATTTAAAAAATGTTCTCCACCATTGAGGCTCCCATTGTCTTTTGATATTTTAGTAGACAGAGAAAGAGATTTCTTTTGAAATGCTAGATATTTTGTATATTGCTAGTATAATAATTCTAATGTAATCCTAAAATCAAGAAGAGTTCTTTTGTTGTTAACAAAGAAGGAACTTCAACCTAAGCTCATGACCCACATGCTTCTTTCTTACAAGTACGCTTACTCTATCATGAGGGCACCATTTCCAATAACTTTGTCCATTTCTTTATTACATTTTAAAGACCTCATTTTTCAAATACCACCACATGGGGCTGGAGCTTTAATGTACCAGTTTTTTACATAACATTTCCTAACCTTATTAATAGAATTTCTTGCTTGTGTTGATAAAACATCAGTTAAAGCTTTGTGATAATAATGTCGACAGTATTCTTTGCTGTGTGGCTTTTATGCATAATTGCTGAACAAAGGGGTCAAATTCTTACATAATTCTGCCAAGTATTAGAAAATCATGCTCTTTTTTTCCAAGACAAGGTTTCTCTGTGTAGCTTTGGCACCTTTCCTGAAACTCACTCTCTAGCCCAGGCTGGCTTCGAACTTATATAGATCTGCGTGCCTCTGCCTCCTGAATGCTGGGATTAAAGGTGTGCGCCATTACCGCCCGGCTGCATCTTTTCATTTGCATTCCTGCCAGTGCAAATGGCCATTCTCGTTTTCCTCTACACATCTCACAAGAATTTTTTTACCTATTTGATAGGTACAGACTAGTTTATCAGTACAGTTTGTATTAGTATTTGTCTTATGTCCAGGGTTGACCTTGGTTTAGGGGAGATATCATTACTCTGTAATGCCTTAATATTTTTTTCCCATTTTCTATTGAGAATGGTCATTACTTTTTGTATCTTTTTTTTAATATATTGGGGCAACCAGCCTGTATAGATAGCAAGCTTCTCATTTTGTCAGTTATGTTTTTATTATGAACCAACGAATTTTTTTTACAAAATTTTTACCACTTATACATTGTTTTACTTCTCATTTTTCAATTTTCCAATGTTTCTAACTTTGAAAGAATTCACTTTTTCTTTAAGAACTAATGTTTTTCATTATTGACATTTATATCTTCCATGAGTTTGGGAGTTATTCTTGGATTGAGAAACAAATACACTTCTGCATTTTCTCTATGTGGTTATGCATTTACACAGAGCCAGTTACTGAGGACATCCATATTTTGTCTTGTTCTTAAAATGTTGGTATCTGCAAATAGTAGGCTGCAAATAGTAGGCTCCCCGTGTTTGATGAATGATTGGAAGCAATGTGTTAAACATTTTATAGTTTACTTGCTTAAGATTTTGACTGTTATCCTCTAGTTCTAGAAAGAATAATTATAGTTTGACTAAATTTGGTTAAACTACATTACATTTAATGAGTAATTAATATGTGTTAGTTAAAAAAGATATAGTATGGGCTGGAGAGAGGGTTTAGCAGTTAAGAGCACTGGCTGTTTTTCTATTCAGCACCCACATAGCAGCTGGGTTCAATTCCCAGCACCCACATAGCAGCTCATAACTGTCTGTAACTCTAGTTCCAAGGGATCCCTGGCACTAGGCATGCATGTTGTACACATATATGTGCATGTAGACAAAATATTCATACACATAAAATAAATCTTAAAAAAGGTAAGTACAAACCTAAATGGTACTTATTGACTTGAAGTAAATAAAAACATGGATAAAATAGCCAGTTTTCATTTTCTTAAGATCATGATTCTTATTGTGTAGTTGTAGAATATGAGCTGTATACCATTAAAATTACATTTTCTGTATCGTGATTGATTTATGTAGGGGAGCTTAATACGAACATGTTTTGTCTATTTCTAACGCTTGCCTTATATCTTTTTTGCCTTGTTTTTGAAATGAGCATTGTTGTGTTGCTTTGACCAATCTGGAACGGCTAGGCTCAAGTAATTGACCTGCGCTTCATCTTCTGGAGTAGCTATAGGCAAGCTTCACCATGCCCTGCTTGTCTTTTGTTTTAGTTTTGACGGAAATTAATTTTGCTTAGTTATAAATAACTATGCTGTTTGCCTTCATTTTAGTTTCTTTTTTCTGAATCTACAGTGTCATGAATTAAAGAAGTCATGCCAACCCCACATTTAAAATCTTAGCAGAGTAGGTGCTTGAGCAATTAATACTGTATTTTATATCCTCTGGAATCTATTTTTTTTTCTTTAAATTTTCTGCATTGCATTCACTTATATTTTTTGTGTGTATGTGTGTGGGTCACAAGTGCCATGGTGTACAACTGTAGTGGTTAGAGGACAACTTGTGAGCGTCTGTTCTCTTTTTCTACTATATGGGTGCCTGGGAAAGAAGCATGTTAAAGTCTTTGGTTTGTTTGTTTTTGAGACATAATCTCTCTGTTACATAGCTCTGGCTGTCCTGGAACTTGCTATGTAGACCAGGCTAGCCTCGAACTCACTGAGAGCTATATCCCTTTTCCTGGGATTAAAGGTGTGCCACTATGCCTGGCTAGACTTAGTCAGAGGAGTTGGCTTTGACCTTACTACACATTAGTAACTGTTAAATGGTGTAGTGGGTAAATATGCACAGTGCTTTATTTGTCCGCTGAAAATTATCAGTTGTGAAATTTCTAAGTGTCACTTGCCACTATTATAGATGTAATCCTGGTCACAAAACTGCAGTGCACATGTTTTTCAGAATTAAATTTACCATTCACTCATATCTGCAAAGGGGAAGAGAATTCAACCAGGGGCCCAAATATGTTTTCCTTTCTCTTTTCTTATTTATACCTAACACCTGATAATATATGTTAGTGAGAGAAAAATGCCTGTGAAATCTGTGGGCATGGCCAAAGAGAATAGGCAGAGAATGGCAAATAGTGGAATAAGCCAGTTTTGTTTGGCTTTGTAGACCTGTGTTAGCTTCTGTCTTAAGTGAAATATGTAGCAGAGCAGCATAATGGATAAGAGCATGATCTCTGAGATGGAAGCCTTTTATTAGCCTTGTGATCTATATATTTAACCTCTCACATGAGTCTTTTCTTTTAGTGTTACAAGTATTGCATGGAGTAATGTACAGTACTTTAACACAGTACCAGGAACACTGCTTCCACAGTCAGTAGTGTATGGTGCTGTGATTGGTAATGTTACTGTAGACATTTCTGGAACTAGGTTTAATAAAATTCCAATTAGGGTGTATGTGCTTATGCATATTATATTCGTGAAAGAGAGTAGGGAAAATGTGAATTATTTAATCATTGAAGAAATTCATTGTCTCTAATTTTATTCCAAACAAACTAGTGTTGTAAATACTGAAACTTGGATTTTCCTTCTGAAACGTCTGTTAACACTTTGAGTATAGTGTTACCCAGTTAATTCTGTAATCTTTGCTTTGATCAAATCCATATAATTATTTTCAAACATATCTTTCTTATATACAAAAATTTCATAGTACTGAGGTAAAGAAGATATAGTTAGCAACTGGTGAGACATTTAAATAGTAGCTTATTTGGCTTATAAAGTTAACATTTATATTGTTGAAAATGAAATGTGAAAGTAAAATAAAATAATGTTTGCTTGTTTTCTTATCAGAATTTCCTATTTAACCTAGTTTTGCCTTGAACTCTCATTCCTCCTGCATCATTTTCCATATGCTACCCCAAAGGCAAAAATACAGATTTTTGACATTAGAACTTCACTGGTTTAATCTCCTCTGGGGACTCAGAACATCATTATTATTATCTTTCAAGTCAATCATGAGGAATGCAGAAATGATTTTAAATTGATACCTAAGAGTAAGTACTTAAATATTTTTAAGAATTCTGTTTTTCAGAAGTCTGTTTTAAACCCAATAATCCTATACTGTTATAGTTTCAAATATCACTTGGGGGTGCTGTTTCTGTTACATACCTGTGCATGAGTGTTTGCAAACATACATTCCCCACCCCTTTTCTTTCTAAACTTACGTGGCATAAATCAGAGGGAATTAGTCTATACTGACAGTCCCTCTGTCTTTCATCACTGATGTGATTTTGTATGTCTTTTTGTAGTAATACTGGTAACTCTGCAATTACATTGAGTAATTAAGTGAAAAATAACCATTAAATAAGAGCTGGTAGATGTTTTGTAGCTGATTGTTCAGAATCTTTTGATTGATAGAGTACTTGGTTTCTGATTTAAAAGAGGGGATAAATTTAATATAAGTAGAACTCAGTGTATTACTAACAATACTTTTTGTGCTTCTGGCAGTTTATTCTTCATTATAGGTTCAGTGATAAAAATGATTATTAGAATTATGGTCAGAGACATTCTGACTTAATTAAAATTGATAAATTTATATAGAATACAAACACTTTTAAAGTTAGTGGGCTTTTGTTTATTGATGTTAAAATTCATGATGGGGCCAAACAAAATATGAGAACATTTGTATAACATTCAGTTCAGGGTTTTGTTGTTTACCTTTTAAAACTAATGGTACCTTGATAAAAGAGCATTGAGTATGTCGTCCATTCTAAAAGCAAACAGTCATCAAACATTTGTAGCTTCTCCCCATCCCTCCCTAAATGATTTTTAATTGGTGATGCAGATAGTTGTCATTTACCAAATGAAAAACCTAGGTTTGTAAACTTGACATTGAGAGAAAGAAATAAGTTCCATAAAATGATTAAATGTTGGATTATGTACACCTGCTTTCAGAAAATAAACTTCCCATATGTTGCTGTTTGGCAGACATGCATCTTAAAAATATATTGAAAGAAATTACTACCTGCATTCCTTTTTTCGTCCTTTTTCAACAACACATAATCATTGTGCTTCTATGTTAGTACTTTTGCTTCAGTTAGAGGAACATGATTCTATTTTACAGACATACGTGAAGTCAGGTATAGTTGTAGTTAAATGACAGCACTCTCCAAGAGTGCAATATTTCGTCTAAATGCAAAATTCATTGAAGTATTGGCTTGGCCATTAATACCAATGAGGAAACAAAATTTATCTATTTTGAAACCTTTAATAATTCATTTTATAAAAACTTGAGCCTGAGACACATTAATTTTTTTTCACATTTACCACATCATGTCAAAATAATTTTCCCAGTATATACGAGATTAATTAATAAAAGAAATAGAAATAATTATCAATTATTTTTAAAAGTAAATGCTTGAATGAGAATTGCATTGCTCAAACACCTGAATATAAATGAGTTATGGATTAACTTAACTAAGTCTTATTGCATGTAGTATAAAGTTTTAGAACTCCAGAGTCTAGTCAGAAAATGTGTTCTTTGCAGTTACAAAGTTCCCTTAAAATCAATAGTACTGTCTTATTTACATTAAATCATATGGTGAAATCCAAAGTAAACCTAGGAATCTTTTGACTGTCTTCATTTCTTAAATTAAGATTTTTGTGGAAAATATATGCAGGTACATTGTATTGATCCCTAATGTAAGACTTGAACCATTTATGCATGCTTATTATTGCATGTTAATACAGAGAATCCCTTTTTAACAATCTTTAAATAGACTCTTTTGGGATATCTTTCTGTCATAATGTTGTAATTTTATGAATTAGCTTCTTCAGAAATTAAAAAAATAGTTTTGGATTCCTTTATGTGATGAGTTGTGAACTAAAACTTGTCCTATGTATGTAATCAAGTTGTTAACTATACATGCTTTAAGTAGTATTTACAGATTGCACACTTGAACAAAAATAGTCTTTTAGTGTAGTTTGCGGTGCCGATACCTGCCTGCTTTTTCCTTTGCTGCGTTGGCACAGGCGTTGTGCTTATTTTGTTGTAAATGGTTCCAGTATTTTATCAGTTCACTAGGCTGGAACTGATGCGAGGTAATTAGGTGGCTGTATTTACAGCTTGAGTAAGAAACTCGCCAGTGATTGAATACAAACTCATTGGGAGGGGGCACAGGATCAATTCTCAACTTGGCAAGACAGATCCCTACATACACATCTTCCAAGTGCAAACGACGGATGCCTAAAGAAACCTTAAATATCTTTTCTGCTAGATCCCCAGAAAAAACATAACCAGTTCCTGAACAGAAGACAGGGTAACGCTCACTTGGATAAAGGTCTGGTGGCATGTACCACTTGCTGTCTTTGTTTCTGTTAGGTGCATAACCTCTCATTAGGTACCCAGTAAAATAGTTATGTCTAGGAGGCAGATCTGGCTTTAGCAACTTGTGTATTAAATATTCAGTGTTGACAAACATGTCACTGTCCGTTTTCATAACATATGGAATATGTGGACAGTATGTTGCAACCCAGTTCATACCCATTAATGTTTTAATGGTCAGATTATAGTATGTATCTAAGTATTCCTGTTGAATTATATCATGATATTGTCTGCTTTCTTCTAGAATTGCATGTTGAAGATAGCCATTTAGCTTAATACTTATGCCCAACAAGAAAATCCGTGTGATTTGGATGCCAGGCGCTAAACTTTCATTGCCCCATGTTTGCCGGATAGCTCTTCTTGCTTCTATCTGCCCAGGTTCTGCAGCTATTAATAGTATTAAAAATGGACTTTTCTCTTGGCATTTTTCAGGCTCATTGATAATGTATTTGAAATGGTAAGAGTTTGGATGTCCAGTCCCCTTTTCATTATAATTGCTTCCATTGGCACTGAGTGTGTTCTCTAGTCCTGTAACTCCTTGCGGTGATAGATCTGTGTTATTGGAGTTAGTTGCTGTCTGAGGCCTCAGAGTCTGAGGAACTGTTTCTTTCCAAATGTTCCGAAGTGAGCTGTGATTTGTTTCACTTTTTGTAGAACGAAATCCTCGGAAGGTGTATGTCACAGGGTTTTCTTTGAATCCAGGTCTACCCGGTAGCCAGTCATGATGATTGAAAAACAGAAACATAGCAAAAAGAAACACTAGAGAAAGTACACCCATGAGGTGGGTCCGGAACAGAGACCTTTTAGCATTCCAGGTCATCTTTGCAAAGCAGCAGTGTCTTCTCCTCCACTGAAGCATGTTGTAAATATCCAGTAATAGAGTAAGATCTACGAGGCCAAAAGTACTGTTGTTTTTTTCCAGAATCAGTACTGTTCTTTGGTCATTATTTTCTGGTTCAGTTATGTGTCTCTCGAAGTCATTCTGTAAAGATGAAACACAATGGTTTACAAAATGCAAAATCTTACAAACTGCCTTAAAAGGGCTCTCTGATTGTTCATGTAAGGACGTTTTTAAGCTGTGAAAAATAGGATAAACCAGAAGAAAGCATATTATTTGTTTCCTTTTGACAAAACAAAAAAATAAATAAGGTTTATTTTAAGATATTCTTGTAACACAGTGATCACCTGAAAGGTAAGTGATTGATTAATTTTATTGGACTCACATGATGATGATCTCAGTAGCTCTGGTCACCTGTTCTTTGACTTAGGGTAAAGATTTTTTAAAGTTGTGTGATGTAGAAAGGAAAAATGTTTTTTTTTTTTGATTTCTTACAAAGGCTTAGTAAGAAGGCCTTCAGAACAGATGGAAAGTTTGTTGACATTAATTAAAATTGATTTGACATACCATGGCGATATGGTGCAGTCAGTGGCCTTTTTTAGAAAATGGTCATGTATTAGTTTTGGGACAGACGGTGTAGTTTGATTGTGGCAGAGTTCAGTTAGTCACAGTACACTGCTTGGCACATTTCCACTCTCCCCCACTGTGTTAAGAAAGTCAGTGAGAAGATACACCTGTCAAAATTAATTTTCAGGGTCCAGTAATTTCATGTGAGATTAGACAGTAAGAAGTGATTAACATTTTTAAGTACTTCGCTAATTTTAACCATCCTCCTCAAATAGGAAATACCCAGGAGGTCGTCAGTCTTAATAACTATAGTTTTGGCAACGGGCATGCATTTTGCACAGTTTTTTTTAGCTATATTTTTTCAATATATAGGCAATGACCACTACTATCTTCAACTGCTTTAATCCTCATTGTTCACAAGATACATTTTACAATATTCTTGAATTATGCTTTGTTGCATAATGTGCAACAAGCAGAAATTAGTTTAATTTTTAAGTCTTCATAGTAGCATAACACTTTCATTCCTAGATCTTTAAAAAGTTACGAGCTAGTCAAGAGAAATTAATGATGCCACATAATGAAAACTGGTTATTTTGCAAGAGGCTTTTCAGCATAGCACAAACTTACTTGTGTTTGTTAATTGTATTTTGTTTTTTCTTTTTTCCTATTCTCAGATGTTTCTAGATGAAGTGAGGTCATAGAAGTAGTTTGAATTCCAATAAAAGGTGTTTTGAAGAATGGAGACAAATATCTAGTTCTGATTTTTTTCACTTTTTTTTTAAACCAAACCCAGAAGTGAAAGTCATTTATTTTATCATTAATTTTGAAACTGGCATTATTAAATTTTTGTGCTCAAGAAGTGATTTTTATTTTAATATTCACTGAAATAATTTCTTTAAACAAAGCAAATAAAATTTTAACATAGCCACTTACTTTAAATTATATGTGTAAATGCATGTGCTTATTTAGCTTATGATAGTGATCAACTTATGGTTGATGGCAGATTGGTTTAACACTGATACAAATGCTTTTAAGAAGTAATATAATTTCCATGTAAGTCCTCAAAAAATTGAGTAATTGTAGCATAAAACTTACACATACCTTTCAGTTACTGCTCAAAAGTGTTAGATGGTTATGAATGAAGTACTATTCTAGTAGCAGCCACTAGGAGGAGCAAGTAGGTGGGAATTTGAACAAATTTCTAATGTGTAACAGGCACTAAGGTTTGATCTTGTTTCTGAAATTGAATGGTGCTTTTACTGAATAGGGTATTTCTCAAAGCTTAAAAAAGTATTTAACCACACACACACACACACACACAGTATCACACACACAGTGATTTTTAAAAAATCTAGTTTGCTCTTAGTTTTATTTACGTGAATTTAAATCGTACAGTACTGTATAAAGATCAAAGCTATTCTCATCCTGTGAAACATGTTTCCTATATGACATGAGTTGAAAATTATAGAGCTTCCTGGCCTGATTTAGAAACAGGTTTTCCTGTATATATTTAAAAATTCTATTTAAAGCAGAAAACTATTACAGAATTTATTGGAAAATTACTTTATTTGGTAGCTACTAATGACACATACTCACCTTATGAGACTAGTGGATATTAAAGAGTTACATATATAAATTTAAAAAGAAGTTACTTTGGAAAGTTTGTTTGATGTGTTTCAAGCATTATAAATATAAACATACCAGCTTTCTATTGATAGAACATTGCTTAGAAAATGGCTGAGATCCAGTCATTCAGATACTTTAAAAGTGCAAACTTACAGTTCAAAAAGGAATAAATTCAAGGTCAGATATTTAAATGAATGAGTAAAAGAGCCTAAGAGAATGAAGTTAAGTATTGAAGTAAGTTACATTGTTTTCAAGAAAACAGTATACTTGAAGTGATATTCCAAAGTGTTTTAATGTTACAGAAAGCAGCTCATTATTTTTTATTGTACCATAGCATATATTCATAATTGGTTGTAATGTGATTTTATAAGATGGAGGTACATCTTAATTCAAATTTCACGAGATTTGCATGCTTGTACGTATTATTCTAGGAGGGCTTCGAATCCCTGTACAAATATTCCTGTTTGATAACCTCCCATTGATAAATCAACCTCATGCATCTAGCCTTACATTGTTTGCTAAAGTTTCTCAGGATGGATATATGTATATATCTGCATGTGTGTGTGCTATTAAAAAGAAAATAAAATTGCTATAACTGTTTCTCCTTTTGTTAGATGATAAAATTATTCTTAGGTTAATGCCTGTTGTATTTTAGTTCTTGAAAATGAGGACAAGACTAGAGAGTGAAATATTTTGCTATGTCTTACAGTTTTTTTTAAATAGCTCCTTTCTTGTTTTGATTATAATACTTTCAGTGTATTTTTATATCGTATGGGTTGTAATTTATAAGGATGTTACTATTAAATGTATTCCTCCCATAGAGTTCCTATTCTTTGACTTTAAAAGTTGATGTAAATACATTAATATTCTGAAACAGTCCCAGATTTAAGTGATGCTTTGATAGAAAAACTTGTTGTATACTTTTGTCTTGATATATTTAGTCTATAAAACTTAATTTCTAATAAAGATACCAAGAGAGGCTGGATTTTTAAAACTGTTTCATTTAATAGTTTCTGATTTTAATCTATTAGAATACAGATAATTATGATTGAGAATTGATGTTTATATACAAGGTCTGATACACTCATTCAGTCTTAATTTTACAATACAGAGATTCCATAGATTTTAAAATTATTTGCTTTTTTGTGAATATTAGTAAGTTTTAAGAAATTGAGGGGAAAAAATCAAAATACTTGATAGATTTGTAAAATTGAGTTAGTTGCTCTTCTAACATTGTCCCCAGGATAGTGTATATCTGTCTTTTAGACATGTAGAGGCAGTGGGTAGATTGTTATTACATGTAAATAAAGCCCAGAAGCCCATTATTGATAATTATTAATGGATATCTTCATATCAAACTATTTTACGCTAGATTTTTAATTTCACTTTTAAAATTATCTTCAGGAACAGTCTTATACTCAGTTATTTAGAATTAGTCTGTTACTTAAAAGCTCCCTATTTCACTAATGTATTTAGAGCAACTATTTGGTATCTCTTTGTTTAAAGTTGTATTCATTGATACTATAATAACATGTGACTGACTACTTGGTGGTGTTATGCTTTGCATAAGCTCACTACCATGTGTGATCTGATGCTAATGTTTTAACTTAATGTAATATCTTGTAGCTCAATAATATGTAAAATTTGCTGATATACTCTTAAATTATGTTTGTCATCTCTGAGGAGATAGATATTAGAGAAAAGATATTACTATGAACTGTTAAGATTTTGATTGAAAGGATTTTCCCAAATAGACCCCATGATATTAAGATCATATTTGATTCTATTTAATATAATTTTACTGCACTATCTTTTGATAGCCATTTTAAAGAATGTGCTTTAATTTATTAGATAAGGAAACAATTTGACCTAATTTGCTAGAGAATTGCTGTATTTTTTTTTAAGGGCTATAGATTTTTTTCTTAGTTTAATTTCTCAGAGAATCTTTTCAGTACATCTAGTTACTATTTGTTTTTTTTTTTAATGTTTAAAATTCTGAAGAATTACTCCCAGCTACATATTTAGTTGAATAAAGCAGTGACAGCTTGCCTTCTAGAAAAGGCAGATTATAAAATCATGTATTTAGAAACCTTTCCATAGTTTCAAGGGCAGGGAACTATATGAACTTGTTTATCAAGTATTAGTGCCTGCAGGGCTATCAAATCATAACACATTTAATGCACATTGTACACAAGACAGCCACATACCTTTCTTTCTTGGTCAGGCCATTTAGGTGGAGAAGATTATGCCCACCGAAAATACTTTTGGCACGCCATCACTTCAGGAAAAAAAAAAAAAAACCCAAAAAAACCGATGCTATCGAACATGCGCACATCCCCCAACAGTCTGCCTCCTGTGATTGCTTTTCACAGTATCCAAAGTGTCCATCTGTCGGCGCGTATTCAAGTTACCCTTCTTGTTCATATGTGTCCTAGTCTTCAGAGATTTTCCCTTTCTTTCATTTTCTCCCTTTGATTAAACAAAAGAGCTGTAGTTGTCCGTTCTATTTGGTGCACTGTTGTCTCTTTCCGATAGTTGATGCATTGAAGCTCCTTACATCTGCTGTATTCCCCGGCTGGACAATGCGGTGCTGTATTCTCTTCTCAGTATCCATATTTCTCGTAATAGTGCTGAGCTGCAATGTAAAGCAGCAGAGCGAGGGTTTAGTGTTTCACTTGCATTGGGGGAAAAAAAAGGGCTTTGCCTCTCTTCCGTCGTTGTTGCCTGGCAGCTGCAGGAAGGATTTTTTTTTGAGCAGTTTTACTGGGGTTTTAGTCTGTAATATGAAATCCACGGTTCTTCAGCTGCTGCACAGGCAGGCAGCAGTTTAAATGTGGGCTTGACAGATGCTCTCTCTGACAGAGCAGAATTTAACGTCACTGCTTGGCTGAGTCCCACGTGATTGTTTGCATTCATTTTGACTAAAGACCTAAGGTAGGGAAACCTTAGAAATCTTGCTTCTATATGATTCATTGTATTTATTCAGAACAAATAGAGTGATGAGTGAATATAAAAGTATGATTAAGAAATGAAGGTAATGGTTTTTAAAATCTTTATTTAAACTTATGCACAGGCTTTCTAAATGTTTTCTGTGTTCAGTGGTAGCTTTCATGTTTCTTATCAAGCTTTTCTAGAGCAGAAGTAGCAAAAGCTTTTACATGCAAGTTGGTGTAAATTAACTCTTTCAGTACATTACTGCTCTTAAAGTTTTTTGTCTAAATTGTTCTGATTTTCTAGTCTAGTTAAAACATTGTTTTTTATCTGAAACTTAGAATTCCCCCCTCTCATTTTCTACAGCTTATCTAAATTGGCTACCTTGGATTACTTTAATGATGTTGTGATACTGTCTACTTTTTTGCTCTCTGCAGTTTTTAGGGTTCTTGATAGAAGTAAAGTTAATTTTAAATCACTTTCTTGTTTTCAACATTAAAACTTTTCTTTTAAAATTACATGTATCATAGAATTAAAATGATAAAGTAGATATAAAACACGCATAGATTTTCTTGATTGGTGAGTCCTACATGATTGATTGCATTTTGACTAAAAACCTAAGGTAGAGAAAAACTTAGAACTTTTGCTTATTGTATAATAAATATTGTGTATATTTATACATATTACGTGTGTGTGTTAAAAAAAAACTACAGTCATGAGCTAGAGTCCAGTGCTTCTAGTAATGTTTAATATTTAAAAAGTGGTTCAGTAAAATGCCGTCAAACAGGTGTTACAAACATTAGAGACTATGAATTCCTCCTCTGGTAAAGTTACCTAGGCACCTGGGCACTTGGGCATCTTTTTTTCCTACAAGAGCACTCACTGAGGCAGGTATTTTTGTTATTTGTTTTTAATGGCTGTAATTAACATTTCCCTCTGATATTCTAGAGACACTAACTACTAGAAATTTATAGTTTTAGAGCTTATGTTATATATTTTAGGGGAGCAGACTTCATTTATTTGTCATATGGTGAGAAATATTTCAGGTGAATAAAAATTACACTTCCTTTAATAGCTTTAAATTTTTTGTCTTCATATTTTACTTAGAGTGTGCTTTGTTGGTTTAGGTGTACTCTGTGACTTTCTTAGTGTGTTTCTTACATCCCCTAGAAATGTTAGGACAGTAGAACTGAAGGAAGAAAGAAAACACTACCGTTTGGAAGGAACTTTGGCCTGCCTTAGTTACATTGTAGGAAGAGGACTAAAACTCATGTTTCTTAGCGTTTGGTTCTTAAAACTCCACACCATAGTCTTCACTGCTTTTTTTTTTTCTCTTGGCTAGGTAATTAGACAAACTAATAGGTAAGGGAGTAATGCTTATTGAATCTGCTTAAATAATTTCTCTAAAGTAGAAGTGGATTTGTTAATATCAGTGATTCATAATAGTGGGGCTTGACTGAGGTTAGGGAACTATACAGTTATTGTTCATTCCAAATTAGATTGAGTGATAAGTACTAGAGATGGTATGTAAATGATCTTGCCTCATGATCATTTTATTATTGTAATATCTATTTTAAAGACGAGGAACTGGTACCTGGAGTTGTGAAATAATTAACCTAAACACCTGTTACTACTGTTGGGAAAGAGGGTTAGATTAGAATTTTGAAACAGCATTATTTAAATTTTTAAAATCTGAATTTCTGTAATTTATTCTTAAATATTATACTACGTGGCTGCTGGAGAAATTGTGAAACTTTCCCCCCAAATTTTGGCATAGTACTGTAGGAATCATTAATGGAATACTGAATGTATTTTCACTTTTTTTCAATAACTGTTTATTAACAAGCTACTAAATGCTAACACATACATTAAGGCACAGCTTATTAATTATTGGGAATATAATGATGATGGAATAAATTCCCCATCCTTTCTCTAGGGTAGGACAAAGTAATTATTTTGCCAATTATTGTTAATATATTTTAAATCTATCCTTTGGTAATACTGAAAGCTGGGCAGTGCTAGGTAAGTTCTGTCCTTCTGCTCTACATTCCCAGCAATGTGTTTATTTTTAATTCACAGTTATTACACATATTTGTGAGGTACAGTGAGACATTCTATATAGTCTGTAATGATCATCCCAAGACAGCTGGCACATCCATCATCTCTAAGATGTCCTTTTTAGATACTGAACTGGATTTATTATGGCTCTCAATTACTGAGGGTTTCATGGATAACTCAATAGTGATTCCCTTCTATGTTGGGTTGAAGCCTGAATTACCCACCAGTGAGATTTTTTCTACCCATTGCTATGGGACAAGTGTTTATATGACAAGATTTCTAAGATTGGTAAGCAGAGGTTCTTGTGTATCAGGCAGAGTACACAGTAAGCAATAATTTTATTCGAACTATAATTAATTTTTTTTGTTTCTTAACATTTAAGTTGATTAACAGCTTAAAGTTTAGAAAAATAGCAGCTATGAGGTAAAATTTCTTTTAGTGATGTTTTCTAACAACTTCAGATTCCAGAGAAATGGTGAAAATCTGTGACCGGAAACCTTGTACAACTTCTTCCTTTAGTCTAGTTCCTTTTAAATCTGAATTCTGTGGTTAAACTAACTCAAATAGTTGTGGCAGGTTTCTTTCTCAAACTTAGCAAACTGACAGTTGCCCTGCTAAGTTTTATAGTTATAAGTGGCATGTAATTGTTGCTTACATAGATCTATTTCTATTTTTATAATACATGCCTTATGGGGGGAAAAGGTATCTATTACTTTGGGTATAGTGGCCTAAACTGTCTACCTGTCCTGCCTCTCTCCTTCTCTCCCTCTCTCCCCCTCCCTCCCTCCCTCCCTCCCTCCCTCCGACCTCTTTCTTTTGTAAGGAATTTTCCTAGACATGTCTATAATAACTCATAAGGAACTGAAATTTAAAGAAAGGGTTTGTAATGCTTCCTAATTCCTTATTTCTACTAAATATACAAAAATTATTCCCTTATTCATATAGTTAATGGTTTTGAGTGATTTACATTATATAAACTAGCAGTAACTGTGGGAATTATCTGTTGATCATTATGTATAAGTTAAATTATTTGTCTTTGATCTTAAAAAAGTTTGACAAGAAATGGCTGGAGAACACTGAGCTATTGCTGTTGAATAGGAGAAGGGAGACATAAGTCCACTCTTGTCTACATTGTTTTCCCTTTTGTTTGTGCTTTACATGGCCCTTATACTTCACACTTATTTCAGCTCATGACAAGAACTAAATCCTTTTTCTTTGTAGTCCTAGATTTTTAAAACAGGTATAATTTTCACCATTTTCATTTGAAAATTACTATTTGACATAGTTATCTAGGGATCAGGGTTAGTTTTACTGATGCTCCCTAATGTGCACAATAATATTTACTTGCAGTTTATACCTCTTGACTTTATTAAAATATAGACTTTTTCATTGTATGAAAGATGCAGACAAATGACATATTTTTGGTTACTTTATGTTAGTAAATAGCATTGCCCTTTTAAAAAATTACCTATTAAAATATTTTTTCCTTTTGAAGTCCACTAGTTATATATGAACTGTTTTATTATTTTTTGAATTTAGAAAGCATGTGTTAGCCTAATTGTAAATTAGCAATCTCAGAGTGACCACAAGTGTCAGTGTTTGCCTGCTTTATTTTCTCCTTCAGTTTTCATTAAGTTGGATAGCAGAAACTCATGTTAAGAATTTCTTTTGACTTGAAAGCAAAGTTAAATATACATGTCTCTTTCAGAACTAGTTATCAGCACTTTTATTCTAATTCATATAATTAATAAACTATAAACATGATTCATAAACTATTAACCTAAAAGAGTATAATCATTTAAAATTTTCAGTGATTTGGCAGACACATGATTTTGCTTTCACGTTCTCTGTTACCTCAGTGAGTTAGCAGTTTCAGTTTCGTATGTCTTTTTCCAATTACAGTTATGGTGTTGGACTGTGGCGATGGCTCAATGAGTAAGGTGACTGTTGTCCCATCATGATGATATACCCTCAGCACCAACTTTTATTTAAAGAGATTTATTTATTCATGTGTTTTTATATATACACCAGAATAAGAAATCTGATCTCATTACAGATGGTTGTGAGCCACCATGTGGTTGCTGGGAATTGAACTCAGGGCCTCTGGAAGAGCAGTCAATACTCTTAACCATTAAGCCATCTCTCCAGCCCCATCCCCTACTTTTTTTTTTTTTTTTAAAGAAAGATTGTATAAAATGTCAACTTATATACTTTAAACCAAAGTATTTGGTGATTATATCACTTATTATTCATAAATCATGATTGATACGATCAAAACTATGAAATGTTTGTCTTCCAAGAAAGAGATTGGGTGACATCTCAGGCCCTCAGTAATTTGAGGGAAGAAATCCATTCTATGGAAAGTCACAGTAGTTAATAATTTTTTGTTTTTGAGACAGGGTCATTCTTTATTGCTGTGGCTCTCCTGGGACTCAATATGTAGAAAGGCTGACCTCGAATTCACAGAGATCTGCCTGCCTCTGCCTCCCAAGCACTGGACTTAGACATGTGCACCACCATGTGTAGTTTGTTAATAATATTTAGTGGGTCAGGTTGCATCTGGAGGTAATCACATCTGAAGGCAAGTTCAAAAAGCCAGCTACTGACTCATCTGAGATATGATTAAAGGTTGCTTCCTGACTTCATTTAATGTGCTAAATTAGTACTGCTACATTCTGATGTCTTTCACTCATGTTTTTATCTGTAATTGCTTATAACAGACTTAAAGTGTTTTCAGTTTTGCAATGTTTTCATGAGCATAATGTGATTTCCTGGGAATCATGATCAATCAATCTTAAACATGAAACTTACTCATTTTCAGACATGCTTTATGTATGTAACAAATGCTGGGCGTAGTTTTAAATGTTTTTAG